CGTCGTCAGAAGATGGAATCTCGAGTTGCTCGCGAGCCATAAAGGAGTACACTTTTCTTTCTCGCTTAAAACGCTCTTCCTCCTTGGAAACGGATTAAGACAACGTCCAATTACTTCGCGTTCAGGGAATTAACGAAAGAAAAATGGTGGTTCGTTTCGTTCGGAAGCGATTAATGTTTCTTATTTTCCGTCTTCCTTTTATATTTTCGTTTTCTTCTCGTTTTCTCTCTCTCTCTCTCTCTCTCTCTCTCTCTCTCTCTCTCTCTCTCTCTAAGATAGGCTTAATCAATGATTCTACCAGCTACGTGTAAGTTGCCGTCCATTTAGCTTATAGCTATAGGGACGCAAACTATATAGGAGCTTCGACTAGAAGGTCTAGCAAAAAGATGAGTCGGTGAGGGAGAGATGGCAGAAGAAATTTACAAGCGAATATGCGGCGAGGCGTCGCGTGGAAAGCGGCTTTTCACGCGCGTAACGCGCTACGATTTGCATAACGGAGCTTCTCGATGGTTTACCGCACTTTAAAGTGAAGCCCACGGCCTCTTTACCTTCCGGATCCTCCACTCGTTTCTCCTGTTCATCGATCCGAACGACTACCCCGTCGAGCTAAATCTCGAAGATTTCATCGAGACACTCGATAATTATGCAGATTGACGTGCAAACAAAATGCCGCCTCTCCGCTCTTACTATCGTTCCTCTCGTTATTGGAGCGAACCATTTATGATATTTTATCGTTGCCAGCATTCGATGACGTAGAAGGAACGATATGGCTTTACGATTATCGATCGTGTTCGATAGTTTCCTTAACTGAAAGCGCTCATTTTCTCGCACCTTTTCGCGGAATTAGTGCGTGGGGGGAGGGGGGTAGGAACGCGTTTAGGGCAACAAATTTGCTTGGACAACAATTTACCATACCGAAATCGACCAAACTCGTTGGATAAGCCTTGCGTTCGCGTTCATGTAAACGCAACACATAATGAAATATCCGTGCCATTAGGCCGGATACGAAGGGTAAACGCGATGCACCCTCCTCTTCCCACTCCCCGTCCGACAAACGTCGGTTTCCGGTTCGCTCGTCGCTCGACGACTCAACTCGATTCGAATCGAATCGAAATCGAATGGGATTCGCGGTTCATTGTAAAAAATTTCTCAAAAAATTCACGCTCCGCGCATCGACGAGGAGAAGTATTATTATACGGTGTCAAACCGTGCACAAACATACTTACGATACGTAAATATCAAAGCACTCGTCGCGATAAACTTAGTAGCGTTCCCCACGTAAGGATCGGTATTGTCGCGAAGGATTCCAATTGTCGATCGTTGACATTATTCATCATGCGATAAATCATCACAGAAATTTGAAAATAAAATAGGTAAATCGCACGAGTGATTATCCATAAGGAGGAGTTTATAACGTGCGGATCGTGCAGTTGCCATGAAAACGGAATAGAAGCGGTAAACTCAGAATGCCGGACGATCGAGCAATCCGATGATCGCGCCCTAATCGAATTAAACTCTGCGCGTGTACTCTCCTGTATTTACGATGGGCTGACTCGTCGCTTCGGATTTGCTACGTTCGCGCGATAATGGCCGAGCTTGGTGGCGCGTTCCCGTTCGAGCACTGAACCGACCTCGATCATCTCTTCTACTCTTCCGACCCTTTGGCCGAGAGCACGTCTCGCGTTGATCTCGAAAGGATTACGTCGGATGTCCGGCTGGTTCGCCAAGGATCTCGAGAATCAGCAAAATTCCTTCCAATGTATCTACGCGCATCTTCTCGAGGTCATTCGATATATCGATTTTTCTTTGATCTTTCAACGATAAAGTACCTCGATGATATTTTCCAAATCGCTAATCACAATTCTCATCGATTATCACGCGAGACGAGTATTTCACGATATACGATCAGCGGTATAGCTCTATATATTTATACCAGGCATTTACCTAATAAATGCATCATACGTATATAACGCGTAAAATAGATATACCGTAGATGCATGCATACTAAATGTACCACGTGTAAATACGTGTATCTCTTGATAATAGTTACATGTACGCGGATAATATAAGCGTACGTACGTATATATATTATACGGGACAAGCCGTATTAACGTATTCAATCGCATTACATCGATGAAACGATTGAGCGAAGAGAAACAAATCTCGACTCGATTCTCTATATTCGACTGAGACACCGTTCGTTTCTCCTACCTATGGATAACCTATATCCATTTTCTGAGTTTTTGTCGACCAGCTGGACGAGAAAGAAACAAAACGAAAGGAAACTAAACGAGACGAAACAAAAGGAAAAAGTAAAGAATCGACGAAATTCGAGAAGGCGATGCTCATTGAGATGTAAAACTTCTCCTCTATTCTGCGAAATTCAAAGCCGAAAGATCGATATACGCGAGAACTCTCGAAACGAATTTCTTCCGAACGAAATGATTTCGAGGGAGATTCGTAACGGGAAAGCATTTCAAAGGAAGAATATTCTCTCTGTTTGCTTGAATATACGCGGTTAAAACGATGCACTTTGGAATATTCATAGATCGGCGGTGTGGTAGCACGCTCGGTACCTAACGATAAATCGAACGGGCGCGAGCCTTTGCGAGGACGTTCCATTTTGACGCTTAAAAGATGCAACGTTAATTGAATTAATGAATCATTCGTTCTACAGAGGGAAAGAGGAATGAAGTGAAACGTAGGCCGCACAGTAACAGAATACTTATTTGGATTACGGGATAATGGTACCGTATAGTATTATGTAACTATCGTTAAACATTTCAACGGGAGTTAGTAAACGACTGGATAATCTCGTTCGAACGAAGATCGACAAAGTAATGCATGATTAAATAATGGATATTGGATAGTAAAGCAACACGAAGGAAAAATCGCCTTTCGTATTTGCGTTACTTAATCCGATAAATAATGCATTTTCGCGTTTCTACTCTGGAGGCTGATTAATTAATTATATAATGATAGTATTACAAGGCACCATTAATTTTCAAGCCACCGTACTCTTTCCTTCTTTTTTTCGAGTGATGATTTTTTACACCGACACATATATATATATATATATATATATATATATATATTTGTTGGAAAATTCAAGGAAAGATCGGAGAGAAATGTGGGCAAAGGCTTGGCGATAGGCAGTGTATTAAAATGCATCAGGTTGCATATAGCTAGGGAGAAGGAAGGATCGATCCCCAAACATCCCTTAGTGACTGTCAAGTTAGTAGAGTGGCACGGTGAGGCAGACTTTTCGTAATCGAAGAGCCTCGAGAAAGTAGACGGAGAGAACGCTCTCGGTAGATGGAAGGAGGGGAGTGTAGCAACTCAGCTGCAAGGTGGAAGCGCCTAATACCACTATTATAGACAGCCGAGTAATCCTGCAGATGGGTCCTCCTATGACCGTGATTGCTCCTTCGAGACGGCCAACCTACGTACAAGCTGTACCGACTATCTCTATATGTTTTCGCGCGTAGACAACTTTCTTCGAAAATCTATCTCATTCCTTTTTCCTTCTAGGTCGTCGTTACTGTTTAGCAAAAGAGACGGAGGGAGGAAGGGAGTATCGTTAAACGTTTCTCGAACGAGTAGAAAGGATGAAAAATCGCCGAAGCAAAGAGTAAGAAGGCTCTCTCTCTCTCTCTCTCTCTGTCTGCCTTGACGAGAGAGGAAGGACGATCTGAAAGTAAATTAAATTTACCTCCTGTCACGAGCTTTCTTTTCCTTCTTCTACTTCTTCCTCCTCTTTTCTCGGCCTTCTTTTTGGCAATCAAACGTGCAAGCAAGGAGTGCAAGCGCATGCGTGATTCTACCGCGCCACCCCCGACAGCCCTCTGGCGCATCCCCCCTCGTGGTAGCCGCAGTAAGACCGAAACTCGATCCTCGTCCTCCTTTCGCCTTCGCCTTCGTCTAGCTATAAGGAAGTTCAGTGGCGTCGTAATCAGAGGGATGCTGCTGAGACGACGTTTCGAATTATAACGGTAACGCTCTATGTAGATACATACCATGCATACGTATGAAATAAGAGAGTCTTGCGTTGCGTCGCGTCGAAAGGCGATACTCTCTCTCTCTCTCTCTCTCTCTCTCTCTGTGAGAGAACAGTGGAGGAAATATTCCGTGTGAGATAGGACTAAGCTATTTTGCGAATAGCGCCAAATATCTATACGTCGATCTATACGTTCGTCGATTCGCTGGTCAATAACGTGGTACGTAATTAAGCCTCCTGGCTCGCGTTCATAACAATAATTCGATATCGAAAGGGTAATTGTGCCAGGACGTTATTGCAAAACGTTTCGATATAACTGTAGGATTCGGTAGTGAACGCGAACGAATTTCGATAAATTTTCCCGATAGGTTACTCTCCTAGAATTCTACGCTATTGGCCGCGTACTTAGCTTTGTATACACGAACGCAAAGTACCGGTATAAGAGGACGTTCCTGTGTTTGACCAGAGTGTGCGCGCGCGCACAATCACCTGCTTGCTCTCGACGTTAAGAGAAGGAATACATGCATACGTATATACTTACTTACATAGATACCTAACTGAGATGAGAGCACACCTACGTAACTTAACGTCTCGAAGTTTGCCGCGAGCGTTCTTGCTTACATTTGCCTAACAGCGTTAACGGATCCTGATCCAAATATCAGACTTCGTGCTTCGAGGAAGACCGCAAGCGGCCTTACTCAAAATGATCTTGCCAAAGCTCCGGGAAACCGCCTCGTTTAGCAGCCTCTTCGGACTCCCTCGACTCGTGTCTTCTTTGATAGCAGCCGTCGGATCGTTTGATCTAGAGAAATTTTATGCGAGGGCAGCGTGCCAAATTTTTCTTGCCCTCGAGCCCCTTTAGATTTTCTTTTTTCAAGAACATTCTCGAACGCTGCTTTCATTGTGAAATTCCTCCAAACTCGGACTACATTTTCTTTTCTTTTCTTTTTATTTATTTTTTTTTTTTACACACCTTTTTGTTTCTTCTTTCTTTTGCTTCCAGATGAGCGGCAAGCGGACGAGAAGCTTCAAATGCGCGGTCCACCATCGGGACCGCGAGGTGTGCTCCGAAAACGACTTTCATCTGCTCGTGCACGAGCCGCCGTTGTTTCGCAGGTAACGTCCGATCCCTGATCAACCTTTTTATTACGAAACGAATCGGTTACTCCCTTTCTCCATTCGACTGGAATTAATAAAAAGAAGAAAGAAAAGAGAGGGGGAAAAAAAAAGAGAGAGCATAGCTAAGGGCGCGGTATAAAGGGCCGAGCTCGGATAAATCGATACTTTCTCTCTCTCTCTCTCTCTCTCTCTCTCTCGACATCGAAACGGTAAAGGAGTTGGCTGGAGGGTAGAAAGGTTTCTTCTCTTTCGGGTGGAAGTGGAAGAAAGATGCGCAAGGTGAACGGATAAAATAAGAAAAGAAGAAGAAAACGTCGAGGTCCTGTGTTTTACTATTCCACTGGAATATCTTACCATAGGATAGGGCTGAAGAACAGAAAAGGGTGGGAGACGACCGTTCTTACTGTGTTTCTGCTCTGCATTTTATACGCCGCATCGTTACCCATGCGAAGGAATCTTGAGCGTGGGAGGAGGAGGAGGAGGAGGAGGAGGAGGAGGAGGAAGAGTGGCGACGTAGCTTGTATCTCGTACGACCCGCGAAGCATCAACGTCTTCCTGCTCCTCTTGGCACAACGAGACGAGAACGATCTCTCCCGTTCTTTATTCCTTCTTACCCTCCCCTCCTCTTCTTTTTTGCTCTTTTAGCTTTTCTTCTCTTTTTCTTTTTTTACCCGTCTTTCTTCGATTCGCGAGCGAATTGGGAGGAACGTCTGGCGCGTTATTTAAAGATTTAACTTCGCTCCGGAAGAATATGACTGGGGACGAACGGATTCCCCCATTCGAATGTCTACAAGACATTATATGGAACAACCGCGTTAACCGATATCCCTCGTGAATCTGGAAGAAGAAAGTGGCCGATCGGCCGATAAAGCGTTTTATTCGCATCTTTATTTCCAACATTTGTCTTTGTTTTTCTTTTTTTCTTTTCTTTCTTTCTTTTTTTGTTACTTACTTTTATTTCTACGAGCAAGACCAAATCCTCTTTTAACCTTTAACAAAACTACCCCGAGAAAAGATGCTTCTCTTATCGTTCTTACTCGCTTCGCAAACGATAGCCTGCCGGAGGAAGCTCCTTGGTGTTCTTCTTCATTTTCCGAGACTAATTACGACTTAAGCCAAGGCTAAGAAACTAATTGTATGTAACGTCCGATCCTTAAAGCTCGTTATCTTCGTGATTAATGATGCAGAGCTTCTCTTTTCTCTCTCTCTCTCTCTCTCTCTCTCTCTCTCTCTTTCTCTCAAATAGAAGTTGAAAACAACGTGGGCGCCTTTCTCTCTCTCGCGCGCGCATATTCGCGCTTCCCTCGAGTTTCGCGACTTTCGAGTACTCCTTGTACTTTCTCCTAGTTCTCCGGAACGAAATGCTTTAGAAAAGAGAGTCGTCGTGTTCTTATAAAATTGCGTTCTTAACAACTGCTGGAATTTACTTGCTTTCGTTAAAATGAAAACAGACGAAATATTTGAAAGTTTAATTAGGAAAAGAAGGGAAAAGAAAGCTTTCGCATTGAATAAAGAAATATTTTTGATTAGAAATCGAGTTACTGCGATAATATATTCGTATAGTCGTAATCACGAAAGGGAAGAAGAAGGAATGGTGGTGGTGCGTTAGCGGTTACAGCGGCGGTAGTCGATGGAGAATAGGAGGACGTAAGAGGACGAGGGGTGTACACAGGCGAGAATAACCGCGTGTACGCTAGCGCCAAGAGACTTAAGGCTTCTATTCACAACGAATTTCAAGCACACGACTCCGAACCTGCTCGGAATATCCTCTCTCTTCATATTTCCGTCGAAACTCTCCTCTTTCTCTCTCGCACGTTCTCGTTCGTTCTTAACGGCCGCTACAACGATTTCCTCGGCCCTTCTGCCTCGACACAAGACGATATTTTATTTGCGAGGAACCTGCCTGCAGGTTGCCGTGCTTCTCTCTTATCTTGTGTACACAGGAATTTCATCGCGGTACGAAGATTTCATGTTGTTAAAGTCGGAGAGATAGACCGTGAGAGAGCGAGCGAGAGAGAGAGAGAGAGAGGAGAGAGGAGAGGGGGGGTTGAATATTCTGTCTCTTTCCTCGATCTTTCTCCCCCACGCTTCGCCTATCTTTCATTAACTCTCTCCTCGTAGGTTTCTCTCTCTCTCTCTCTCTCTCTCTCTCTCCTTTCGCGCAGACGATACGATGAATTATTTATGAATAGCAGCCGGGAACAAGTCGAATCGAGCACGCTCGAGAAACCCTGGCACTGCTCGATGTTTGATACGCATCCACTTTCCACTTCGTGGTTGAATTTTACTCGACAAAGAGACACGAATTTTCTTCTCTCGAATTCCGGCTGGACCACCTTGCCGTTTTTATAAAATTCCAAGTATCCAAAAATATATTTATAACTGATAAGATCGAAAACAAAGAGGAAAGTTCGTAGAAATTCTTTTTCCTGGTGCTTCGAGATACATCCAACAACGTAGGATTTTCTCTTGTTCGAAAGAAAGATGACGACTTCGTAACGAGTTACGTGACTTCTCTTGTATACTCTTCCGATCGTCGAAAGATTTTTCTGAGGAAGAAAAAAGAAAAAAAGGAAAAAGAAAAAAGAAAAAGAGAGAAATTGAAAAAAAGAAAAATGTACCTCGAATAATGCGAAACGCGTATATTTCCAGATCTCGAAGAAAATCCTAGTGATAAAAGCAGATATATTCCTTGAAAAATAGCGTGAAAAGGCAACGCGATAGCTTCTTCCCTCTCGAATTTCATTCTTCGTTTCTCTCGTCGAGTGAATAAGAAATTTTCTTTGACAAATATAACTAAACATCTTTACATAATCCATCGCCAAAGAAGCGATTTTGCACCCTATAAACAATAGAGCTATTATTTCTAAAGAGCGTTTGTGAGAATTTCGTGCAAATGTTTCTCTTTTTTTCTTTTTTCTTTGTTTCTTGCTCACCGTGTAAAACATAAAGAGAAAATCATGGCTAAAGCCATTATATGGCTCCTTCAAGAAGATTTTGTCAAGGTCGAAAGGCGCGAACGATTTCAAGGAAAGGAGGAGGAATTTCAAAGGAATTACAGAGAATGACAATAATCGAGTAATGTATTGCGCAAACGTATTTATTAAGTTATTCAAAAAGAACGTTTCGTACAAAAGTAAACAAAAAGGAATAAATAAATAAATAAATAAATAAAACCACAAGAAAGTGTCAGAAAAAGAGGAAAAAAAAAAAAAAAAAAAAAAAAAAAGAGAGAAAAGAACGATCGTCGGCGACACGACAGAAAAAACGATCTCGAGGATCGTTGATAAAATCCCCTTAAAGGGCACGTTTTCGGAAGGTAGATTATCCATGGCAGGTCCCGAGTGGTCACGCAACGAACGTGTCTCGAGTTAATAGAGGGATAACGTGAAAGGTGGCGTGGCAAAGTGGCCCACTGATTCGTGAAAAATACGCAAGACTCCGTCGCGAGGGTGGCGAAAACAACATCTTGCACCTGGTTTTCGTAGCCACCGTCGCTGCCGTCGAGCGATCGAAAAACATTTTTGCATTTTTGAGACACGAAATACTTTATCAAGCTCCATCACCTCTCCGAGTTGACCGAACCGACGAGAGAAAACTCGTCATATCTTTTTCCACCTATGCATTATTTCACCCACGTGTTGGATAGTTCGGTTTATATCGAAACGGGACGACACTTGGTAATTTTCGACACGGAATTTCTACCAATCGAATTCGGACGCGCACTGACTCGACGAAACAACGACTCGCGAAACACTTGCGCGACGCAAATAAATATTCTCTTTTTCTCTCTCTCTGCCTTGGTTGGTTGGTTCTGACAGGAATATAGAGAGAAGAGGAATATAGAGGGAATGAGGGGAAGAAAAAAAAAAAAGTTGAAGAAAATAACGTCGATGAAAAGTCTACGACGTGCACCGTGCGAAGTGCGCCGAGCGAATGCCGTCCGTGCTAGGAGTCGCGGGGGTCGAGTCGGCGGCGCGTACGAGCGGCGTGGCTCGCGATTGGCGCGTTAGGGTCCCCACCGAGGTGAGAGACAGGCAAAGGCCTATCCGGTGCGTGATCTCCCCACCTAGCGCGTAGGACCGCGTGTGCACCCACGCAGGGCGGCTCGTGGCCGCTCGTCGCTCGAGGCTCCAAGCAGTCAGTCAGTCAGTCAGTCACTCAGTAGGCCCGCGGCGCGCCACGAGGTGGGACCTGCGAACGTACGGTATCGTACGCGCGACAACACGTTTCCTGGCCGCGATATATATCGCGCGCGCGAGCGCGCCCCTACACCTGTCACCGGGAGCGCTTCTTCCTTCCGTCTCCATTGGCCGAACGATCGGGGATTCTACGAATCCGTTCTCTTTCTCTCGTTTAACGAGAAAGAGAAAAGAGGTGTGTGTGTGCTCGTCGAGTTAACAAGGAACGGAAGAGTGGCCAGAATAGGGACCGTGGCGCGTAATCGGATTCCTCGTTTCGTCGAGGACGAACGTGCGAGAGCTCGCGTATTTCGCGCGAGCGATCGCGCACCCGATCGCGAAAGGACGTCTTTGACGAGGATCGGCAACGACAAAAGCAGCCTCAGAAAATTACGTTACGATCTGTCGAAGGCGTTACTATTCTGGCTACCACGAGGTGGCTTGACGAGTCTTCGTCGTAGCACGGTATCGCTCGAGGCGAACGCGTGACCTTCGCGCTATCGGAAAGTGTCGCTGACTCCTCGCGCCGGTGGTGGTGGTACTCTTTCGGGAGGTGCAGCAGCCGCTCCTCGAGAATACCTTGGTGATTCTAACGATCGTTGTGGCGTGCTGATCCGCGATTGTACCTCCTCCTCCTCCTCCTCCTCCTCCTCCTCGTCCTCCTCCTCCTCGCCGGCAACGTGGAGACAAGACGTCGGTGGGACAATGTGCGTGACCGCCACGCCACTGAGCGCGACCAAAATTGTCAAGGATAACGCTAGACAAGCTACGAGGACCGTTACTACCGTCGCTACTCCCGTCAGTCCCATCAACAGC